TTTGTGTTCACTGGATTCAGTCCAAAGAGCCATTTGCATGAATGGTCATACAAGGGAAAGGGGCCCCAAATTACCTTCTCCCAGATGCAATCTCCTGCAGTGCATTGCGTCTCACTCTGGAGAGCCCCATGACCCTTGGACATGGTGGGAGAGATCACAGTGGGAAGAAGGGAACGGGAAAACCCTCTTGGAAACACGGAACTTCCTCGTTTGAGCTGTATCCAGGGTCTGGATAGCTGTAGTCCCAGTCTGCTCTATGTAGAACTAGCACTGGATGCAACCCTTTATTCTTAGGACCATCAAGCCACGATGCACAAAGCAAATCTCCATGCACGGCCTTTCAGACTTGGACGCTTCAACGGCAATGTTTCAGGGTGACAAAGATTTATCAGCACATTTCTAGGCACCCATAGTGTACGGAAGAAGGACAGGTGAGAGGAGAATATGGCTGCCACACCAAGGCCATGAAGTGGGGAGAAGGAAGTGAAATGTGGAGTGCAGGGTCAAGGGGTGACCTATAGGTGGAGCACTAGCTTGGTCATGAACTCTGTCATGCATTAAAAATAAATGCTATGCACTTTTGCCCCACTTTTTGGCTTTAGAAATAAATTTGAATAGGCATGCAGCCCAGTATGAGAAAAAGAGTAAATACTAAAATTAGTTTGGGTGAACAGGGACAAAAGACTGTTCCAGTATCATGTGGACCACCGATTCTTTTTAAGAATGTGTGGAATATATGGCTTATGTACATGGTAGCTTGGATTCCTGAAAATGATATAATAGGAAAATAACCTCACAAGCTAAGTATGAGCCAGCAATGCAATGTGGCTGCAAAAAAGGCAAATGCTCTTTGATCTACTTTAAATGAAGTATCAGTCCAAATCACCTGAAGTGCCAGTTTCCCCTTGCACAACATTGGTTAGGCTTCATCTTGAGCACTTGTCCAGTTCTGGGCACCACAGCTTAAGAAAGATGCAGACAAACTGGAAAGATTCAGAAGAGGGTGACAAAGCCCTATTAGGAGAGACTGGAAGGATTTGGTTTGTTTAGTCTACAGAAGACTGAGGGGAGATATAATAGTACTTGAAAGTCTGCCACACAAGGAATAGCCAAGATTTTCTCTCAGTCTTCTCAGAGTGTTATCACAGAACAATAGGCTCAAGTCACAGGAAGCCAGATTCTGGCTGGAAATCAGAAAAACTTTTCTGACTAATAGAGCAGATAGATCAATGGAATGGATCGATGGAACCAGCCACCTAGGGGGGTCAGGGGCTCTGCCACATTGGAGGCACCCAGGAAGCAGCTGGACAACCATCCGTGGGGGGTGCTTAATTTGAAGCCCTGCACTGTGCAATGGGTTGGACCCAATGGTGTTTCTTCTAGCTGTACTCTTCTATGATTCTAACCCTGGGTCACTGGGTTATTGTGCCATGCTAAATTGCAAAACTAATGCTAGAATTTGAGGCAAGGAATGGAATATGAGTGTGGAAGAAAGGTATAGTTCTGTGGAGAAGCAGAACATGGGGTCTCTGTGGGTCACATATAGCAGGGGCTGAATCCGTAGTCTAAAAGGTAGGCATCGATTGCAAGAGGCTATGACTGCTGAGTCCAGGGCCAGTGGCCATGCCATCTAGGAATTACAGGAGTGTAGTTCCAATACATCTGGAGAGTACCAGGTGGGAAAATGTTGTCCTAGACTTTGAGGGTGAGTCTCTCCTAGAAAATGGGAATTAGCAACAAAAAAAGGACTGAACCCACACATGTTTGTTTCAGAGATGACTAGATGCATGCAAATTAGATAAGGGAAGTAGCTAATTGGTTAATTCTAGGGTGGGATGTGGGGAACAGGGACATAACTTTAGTGGAGTGGAATGTGGATGATTTTAGATGGAAAAAGGGAAGGGAGGCTACTGCCTAATATCAGAAGAGGAAGGTAGTAAAAATGAGGCAAACTTGCATGGGGTCTGATGAGGCTCAGAGGGAGAAAGAGGTGATGGAAATGCTTGCCTAATCAAAACACCACAGGAAATGGCTTGCCACTGATAATAAAGGAAGGGGGGAGAGAGTTGGGGGAGAACAAGAGAGCACTGGATGCAGAAGGGTGAGAATGTGAGAGGATCCGAACAGACATCCCTGAGGAGGCCGTGCTGCAGTTCAGGGGTTCATGCAATAAATGCAACACTAGAATCATGTCTGCAGTTCCTCACTGGTGATAGATCACTCAACATTTCAGCCTGTAGTGCTCACTCTGTTAAAGGCCAAGAAAGCCAATGATGGGGGACTGACGACTGGTGATGCCTTTCTGGGTCCTGTTAAACTCTAATAATGAATAAATAAATGTTGGTGTTGACAAGGGCATGCTGAAAGTGTGCAAGGGAAAACTGGGATGGGGCACTTGCTACAGCTAGGAAGTCGAACAGCCAGAAACCAAATAGAATTCTCTTTGTCTTAGAAGTCCCCTTTCTACAACCCTGGGATTTGGAGAGGTTTCGCCTGCTCCGCTTTTTTCCCTGAGGAACAAAGATAGTGGAATAAGTGAGATAGGATGGGATCCCACCGTAGGGATCTTGTGCATGAGCACAGGATACATAGGACAAGTTCAAACACTGGGTAAAGGCCTCTGACCTTACCAACTCCCAATAAGTGCTAATAATGAAACAGGAGCAGTGCCTTGTGAGCCTTGAACAGTTTGGTTGTTTGGGGGCCTGGCAGGATGAAAGCCTCAGCATATTCCAAAGCCCCCATCCCCATTCCAGAGGAATGAAAATTCCATCCCATACTCCAAAATATATGCATGTGCATCAGTGCCATGATCCTGTATGTCCAAGTCTTTTCACGTGCTTCCAAAGAGAAGGAGGGTATACTTAAGAGACAGTGAGGTTGGGATCCAGCGTTAAAGAGGAGGTGGACGCCAGCAGGGCTCAGAACCACAGAGGCACAAATTCTCTGATCGGCTAGAAGGCCCCGGCATCAGCATTGATGTGGTCTCAGGCAGCCCTCCCAGAGGATTAGCAGTCCTGCAATTTCATGAAGCTGACTGCAAGCACTGCACCACAGTTGATTTTAAAGAGGAAGTTGCAAATGGACCTTTGTGTGCTATGAGAGAAAGTGGCTGTTCTGACTAGTGCTTGTGAGGAAAGTTTGCTTTTCCTTTATGCTCACCCCTTTAGCTGATAATCTTTTGGGGAAACACCTGCAAAGGCCTCCAAAAAAGCTAACAAGAACACAGGGCACACACAAAAGGGCTATGATAGCACCCTGTGTGATATGAAGTGTGAATGAAGACACTCAGATAAGTTGTGACTGGTGATAACTCCTCTGAGGTAAACCTTGGGCAATGGCTCCCTTCCCTCATGTGGGTTTTTTGAAGCAAATAGTAATAATCTTGTGGCAATATTTGAAATATGAAGCATGACAGAATGGAGAAAATGTCAACGGTAGCAAGTTCCAGGGCTGGGGATTATGAGCATACTGGTTTCAGACCAGAGGAGGGCAGCATCACATTGAATTACCATGACTTGCTTGAAAAATCTCCTATGCATAAATCACATTTTTACGATATAGCTGCAAGTGTGTCTGGATGTAAATCGCATTCATTTTTACAGTTTTGGTGTGGTTTAAAAGTAAGTATCATAGAGCTCAGTTTGGACCATAGCCGGCAGACCCTTACATCCTGGCCATTTGCTGGATGTGTACGAGGGGATAATCTCCACCCCATCTCCAATTCCTCCCAAATGACAAACACAATCCATTGATACAGGAGTTTTGAGGGCCCATCAGAAGTCAAAGTTTCCTCCAGAGGTCAAAGAAATGTCCAAACCAATATAATTATGTAAGGAATCCAAGATGTGACACAATCTTAACAAAGTCATTTTGAAATCATTTGACAGTAAATTTCCCTGTTCCTAGCCTAGAGCACAGGAGAATCCTCTGCTTTCTAACTGCCTTCTTCTAGACAATCCTGCTTTAAAACATGTTCAGTACAAGCTGGGCTTTGATGCAGCCTGATGGGCACCTAAAGGCGATGTCAAAGCCCCTGCAGTCAATAAAACGACTGCCATCAAGGATTTGACATTGAATGCATCATGTCAGAGACTGTAACTCAGAGGAGTGAGAGCTGCCATTTGCAGGACCAATGACAACAACTGCACAGGTCTGTGGGGTTTCAAGATTGCTTTAATCTGACTGGTAACCACTTATTTAGCTCACATTGTTTCTGACAGAGTGTCACTCTGGCAGTGTCTGAATGAATGATAAGACTTTTCAGAGCATGTAGAGTCTTCTTTTCGAACAATAGATTTTGCTTGTCTTCTAAGAAAGCCCTGGAATCAGTTCAGAGAGTGAAATGTCCACCTCAACAATTATTTCTTCAGTAATGTTAGCGGATAAATCTAGTGGTAATAAAACAAGATAAAAACAGCCATTTTTTGTTTATTTGAATTTCTGTACTGTCCAGTAACTAAACCTGTCTGAGTGGTTCGTACCAATTTAAACCAAGGGGAGGGAAAGCAGATTCCTTTCCAATACTATCCATCACCAGCTGTACCTCGGCTTGGTATGATCTAAATGTACTGTGTGAACAGCCCAATGCAGTTAGGCTAAGACAGGGGTGAGAAACTTGCGGCCCTCCAAATGCTTCAGTTCTCATCAGAAATGGTTTCCAAACTGCTCTCAAAAGCACCCCATATCAAGCTCTGGCCACAACTTCTGGAGTTCTGCACCACTGGACTAGAAATAGAGAGTGATATACCTGAAACTAGATGTCATATCTCTCAGCCAGGAAGTGCTAACCTCTTCCATTATGGGATCAGGGATGAGCAGAAACTTGGGTATTCTATTGCCAAATTTGCTATAGCATGTCAGGACTGGGTACATCATGACTGGAGAGAGCTCTTATGTATTAGTATTTCAGTGGAGATAAAATGTGAATGCATAAATATTTTCAAGAGCTTCCACTTTCAGATTCTTCCACCGTTACCTGAGCCTATGATTTTCTGCAGGTTAGCCAGTATACGTTTGCGATGTGCAGTTACCGAGAGAAAAAAGCTGAGCCTCAAGAGCTGCTACAACTGGATGGATACACAGTAGATTACACGGACCCACAGCCAGGTAGGCAAGATAGTTGTCTAGTGTCTTTTATTCTGTGATTGTCCGTAGGTTTGCTGAACAGTTATGGACCATATGAGAGCTTCTGAATTGCCCCAGAGATTTGAATGCAGGTTGCTTATTGTGTAGATTGAATCTACAAAGAAAGAACCTGTTTCAAGATGCTGGACAATACACCTTTATTTTCAGTAGGGGGCCTGCTGCTTTAGGTGCCTTCTTCAGGCTATAAAAGAGGTACAAGTGCACATTTTATTGAAATGAACAGTAAAGAACAGTTAATACATTCAGAAATTGCATATGTCTTCGTACTTCCTTGCTTTAAAATGGCCTTCTGAGAGCTCAGTATTTCTTTAGCTAAATAACTGGTAGATAAAGTCATTACTAGATCCATCTGATTAACGATCCTGTATTTGGATGTAGGCAGTCACTTACACAGGTGCTAACAACTTCACAGAGATAAGAAGTCAGGGTTCTGGGTTATCTAATAACAGCTTCTTTTTTCTGTATAGATGTTTAACTGCACAGGAAAAACCAGATTAGTGTCACTAAAGGGTAAAACTCAATTACAATAAACAATCTAATTCCTTATTAAGGCCTTATGGGGCCAAAGTTTTTAGTTTTATAATGTACTCTATTGCTTATCTAGGAAGGGTCTTAACATTTTCAACAACCATTTCAACAGCCAAGAACCTCACTTATAGTACAGAAGATCCTTTATGTATTTCCAACATAAAATTGTTTACATTACACAAACACACATCACATTACTGACATTGCTTGTATGTGTTGAAGAATCTAAGAAATACTGTTAATTGTCAGAAAGAACTCAGCAATTTCACAGCAGTGTCTGCAATAAGCACAGCAAGTACATGGACGATAAGCCCCAGGAGCTGCTGATCCGACACCAGTTACTAGACAAGACACATGTCAGACATGCCCAAACCCACTTTCTTTGTGGCTGGCTTGGTTGGCATTGTGCAAAAACTGTTCATTGATAAATGGATTATTCTTTTCTTAGCCACCTGAACTTGCAAGGAAAGGCAGAACATAAATATGTTAACCTCCATGCATCTTGGAGAAAAGGGCACTGTCAGATCCCTTTTGAAGAAAACATAACTGCCCCCCACTAGTTTAAATAACCAGCTGGTGGCCAATTTGACCTTTTTGAAGCAACCTGATTGGATGTGTAGAAGTATCCCAGGTTCAGGTTTTCCTGGTGTGGACTACCAGTCATGCTTTATCTGGTAGGCATGTCATAAGTGGAACCAGCTGGAGCCAAAGGTCAGAATAGATGGCCCAGGAGGCCGCTTCTGAGTTGCTTTGTTTCAATGCCAACTGGGTGCTTTCTTCAGGCAGATCATGAGCTCTGCTGTTTAGCGTGATTTATTAGATTTATATCATAAACTATAAATCTGCCATTCTATAAAATAAAAATATAATCCCAAGACATAGCACAACAATCAAGGCAAGCATGTATCAACCTGCTAAAACCTCCTTCAACAAGAAATCAGTTTCTGTGCCAAAGGCCTGCCTGAAGGAAGACATATTGGCCTGCCAACAGGAGGACAACAAAGAGCACAACCAGCCTCCCTTGGCAGAGAGTTCCAGAGCCTGGCACCTCCCCATTAAGTAACAATTTCATCAACTGATGCAGGATTTGGGAGGGAATGTTTCCTTCCCCCAGAGACTCACAGATAAATGCAATGGTACATTTTAACCATGTCTGATATATACGCAATGGAAGAATGGCCACAAACATCTCTCTCAACACTTCTTTCCTCAACCCCAGGAGGTCATTCTCCTGCCTCTAGATTCATTCTAGAAATTGTCTGGTTGACAGACAGAACTATATCCCAGTACCATGTGACCATGCTCAACCAAAATAGACATACTAGAACTGTCTCATCAGCAAAGAACCAGAAAATGTGGTCTCCAGGCCCAGAAACAAGGGGTTGACTTCATTAGCGCAAGGCAAAAAAGTGAAGACTAGGATGGTCAGCATTACACAGACGTAGCATTTGTCCATCCTATGAAAAGAAGTTGCAATGAATAAATAATATGCTATTACCGTGACAGGTCTGAAGTTATTCTTGAATCGGTAGCACACATGTTATTTCTGAGTAAAGACAGATAAGAGCTTAATACTCAAACTGCCAACTTTGGGGTATCCCAGCTTCACAAGATTTTGTGAGATGGGCCATTTGGCCCAGAATTTTACCCTTTGTGTTCACTGGATTCAGCCCAAAGAGCCATTTGCGTGAATGGTCACACAAGGGAAAGGGGCCCCAAATTACCTTCTCCCAGATGCAATCTCCTGCAGCGCATTGCGTCTCACTCTGGAGAGCCCCATGACCCTCAGGCATGGTGGGAGAGATCAAGTGGGAAGAAGGGAACGGGAAAACCCTCTTGGAAACAAGGAACTTCCTCTGGTCTGGATAACCGTAGTCCCAGTCTGCTCTATGTAGAACTAGCACTGGATGCAACCCTTTATTTTTGGGACCAAGCCACAATGCTGCATAACAAAGCAAATCTCCATGTGCGGCCCTTGTAATGAGTTCTTTCTGATTTTCTCCAGGTTTGGAGGGTGGCAGAGCATTTTTCAATGCAGTGAAAGAAGGAGACACAGTGATTTTTGCAAGCGATGATGAACAGGACCGCATCCTCTGGGTCCAAGCCATGTACCGAGCCACTGGCCAGTCCCACAAACCTGTGCCACCCACTCAAGTTCAGAAACTTAATGCTAAAGGAGGAAATGTGCCCCAACTTGATGCCCCAATCTCTCAATTTTGTAAGTAAAACATATTCTCATTGCAGCAACCATTTTTGCTCAACAGTTTGTTTGTGCATAGATGGGGCAGGGTTGGAGGGGAAGAATCATGCTCCTTCCATATAATTTTTCATGGTTTATCTTTACATCTAAGGATTCCAAATAATACATGTAATGGACCAAGAAAACAGTCATATTGGGGAAACGTCCAGAGTAAAGGCTAAAATGCAATACTTGATGGAAATTATCTTAAAGGATAGGTTTTGGGAGCTTACAGGGTTTCCCATAAAATCGCATGCAAAGCTAAACTGTCCTTCCTTTTTTCCTGGGTCAAGTGATTAGGACAGCCCAGTTCTGTCACCTAGAAAACTGGCTGTGGTGTTGTGTGTGTATAGTGAATAGCTAATCACAAAACTTTTAAAGATTGTCATTTTGCTCTAGGACAGCAGAGGGTCACACTAGTGGCCTATTCCAGGAAGGACATTTTGTATTCAGCAGCTGCTCTTGTTCTAAAACGGGGCACAGAATCTCAGGTGGGCTCCAGGTGGCCACTCCCACTTCCTCTGCCTTTCTGTCAGTCATCCTCTTTTCCACAACTGCTGATGCTTTGGTGGTTTCTCAGCATTTGTGCATTTTTTCATTATTTGAAAAGTTGACACATCTCTCCTAAAGCTTGGCTAGTGGCAGTTAGAGCTTTAAGCTAAAATATGCTTGCATTTTGGCTCCTTTTCTTTGGCGTTCGGCCCCATCTACCAGCAGAATAGCAAATGTGTAGGATATGTCCAGTTGCTTATTAGTACACATTTTGTGCCTTTAAAATTAACTGCAGAACTCAAGGATCTGAAGCTTAGTTTTCTGTAAGGAATTCTACAAATGTTAACTGTTCCATATGCCCTAAGTCAACTTTCCCAAATTATGTTTTGTTATACAGTGGCATACAAATATAATGACTTATTTATTTAATCAATAGAAATATGCCCCCAAATAGATTTAAACTGTCCTAGAAATAAGTTTTTAATGAGTTAATTTAGTATGTGCAATTTAGTTAGCTTGGACTTTAGTCAGTCAGTTTCGGAGTTAGTTAGGATGCAAATCTGTGCATTCCACATTTGATAGATGTAAGTCATCAGAGCTAGAAGCTTCCATGTATTGAGGGTGAGGCACAGCAATGGCAGTTTCTGCCATGCTGCACCCCACTCTGTGAACTTCATCCAAACTGCCATCTCTGGCTGTCTAGATGAAGAGGTGCAGAGGGAGCTGGAAGGAGCTGGAGTACTGTCTGGATACACTGAAAGCTGCTGTCCCAGCCACCTCCCCTCCCCTCATCTCCCCTATGTGCCTCAACACATCCTTGTCCTCCTCTCCAAGCCCCATTTCTGACCTTGAAGCAGCAGTCAGTGTGGTTCTGTGCTGGCTGAGAGGAGCGTGGGACAGTGGTTCTGTATTGGAGTCTCAGCTCTGAGGTCGTAGGGTCTCCAAATTGTCCTATGCCTCTTCCAGATATTGTTGGGGGTGGGATAGGGTTCCATCATTAGTTAGTTAGTTAGTTAGTTAGTTAGTTAGTTAGTTAGTTAGTTAGTTATTAGACTTATACCTTGCCCTATTTAAATGTAGGTTCTGTGATTCAACCCCATTCCTCCATATTCCTGGCCACCAAAGTTAGTTGAAATAAAATATTTTACATTGATCCTGAAAAAGAGAGGTCCTGGGTTTAAATAGTTGCTTTTCCATGTACCTGGAAAATATATTGCCAAATATTGATCCATTTGCTTTAATGGGTTGTTATTTGCCAATATAAATTGCAGGGGCAGCGGGACCAACCTGGATTATGACCGCAATGCTGGGAAGGGCTAAGCCAGTGGACTTACTTCCACTGCCACGATCCTGAACCAGATTAGGGTCCTCCTGTTGCTGTGGAGTGAAACAGTAAAAGACATAACTGCTAGCTATGTCATTAAGGTAATATGAGCTTTGGTGCAAAGATACCTGGATTAAAATGTTAAATTAGGTTCGTTTCAGTGATAGTTTCTGCCAGGTCCCTGTGGTTGTGTTCATCTCCTTCAATATTTTGTGCGCCTTCATGTTCAAAGGCTATGGAAAATCTGAAATCTTGTCTTTATAGTATCAATTTTTCCTTCAGGAACCTGATATGGCATATGCAGATTCTTAGACATGTTGCTATTGGTAATGCTTACTTCCTCATTCGCCCCAGAGCGTATCTATGAAAAATTACAATGTTTGATAATTATTAGATAATGCTTATCTTTTTTCACATGCTTGCATAGCTTGGACTCTTACTCTGTCTTTATTATGGCCCAGCAAAGCTTGGTTTTCATTTCAATATGAATGAAAACATGGCATGATGCAAGTTGGATGAAGATGATTCATTTCATGTTTTCATTTTTGTTGCCCGTTTACATGACACAAGGACAATTTCCATTGCTCTTTCCTGGCAGTTTGACTGATTGAGTGAAATGCTGCAACAATGGGCCTTATAATGGCATGTGCATTAATTCGACCCCCTTTAGGCATGTGCGCACACACGCACATGCGCACACACAAACACACACGCAGAACAGAAAGGCCCTATTAAGAACAGCCTGTTTTCCCTTATCCCATTTATACGACACGCTTATGACACGTATAAGGTAAGTAACGACAGCATACGTTTCCAAATTGCTTGCACAAAGGCGCCACGGAGCAGTTTGGTGGCCTCTCCTAGCTCTGCGAATGACTGGCTGGTCCCAAAATAGATAATAGGAATATTTGCTTCCCAGTATTCATACTTAAAGCTGTGTTCTTCCTATTTCTTGCATTCCATGTGCTTTAACTTTACCTGGCCAGGCAGCCCAAAAGGTCCCTTTCAGTATTTTGAACTTGCAGTCTCCTCTCTGTTCCTTTAAAAACGGTCATCCCAGTATGGCGGAACCAAGATGTGGGATATGCTCACCCACTTGAGGTCTCCATTGTCAGAATCTGGATCCTTCACAATTATTTCTAAATGTCCCTCCTCTCTTCTTTTTACTTCCGGTTAGCCCCTTCCTCTGTGGCTTTCTCAGTAAACAATGATGCCTCCAGCCTCAGAAGTTGCTGCATATCATGAGGGAAATATTCCCAGTGTTGTTACAAAATGAGACTGTGGGAAATCCAGACTAGCGACTGCACCAGATTGCTCCATTGCTTTGGAATGGACCAAGCATATCACAGAATGTGGCTTCTTCCCTCCCCAGTTTGTCCCCTTCTTGCAGTCCTTTATTGTTAATTCCATGTCGAGCAACTTTTCAATGCGAAGAGAGAAAGATAGAAGCATGTCAGGGGGGTTTGTGCACACATTATGTATCATCTCTCTCTGTGGATGAACATGTGTTCTGCTTACCTAAACAGGAAAATATTCCCCCACTATCAGAAGCCCCAAATTGTATTACAATGAGCACTGACGTTCCACCCTAGTGTACCATTTCATGAAAGTGAACTCTTGATGTCATCTGGTGGGGACAATAATTGGCAGGGTTGTAAGGCATGGCTTCCATGGTTTGCTTTGCCCTCACTTGCAAGCTTTATCATTAATTCCTTCCTTTGTAAGCAAGAGAAGGGAAGCTGGAATAACCTTGGTGGGCAGAAGCGGTCCTCTTCGCTTCTGCACAATTCTCCTTCACGGTACCAGCAAACAGGCCCTCCAAGCTCCATTTTAGAAAGCTGCCCATAAAGGTCACTGGTTCTGATGTAGCAAGTGGGAAAAGCAGATGGAGGAAACCTTATTCTTAATTCCCAGTGCAGTTGGTCTTCTGTTGCTTCTTAAAGTAATAAAAGACAACCATAGCAATATGCCGTGAAGGTGGAAGAGCTCAGATCAAGACCATGTTTGTAATAGGTGGCTCTAAGTAGCTGCAGACCTACCACTAGAGGTTGCTAGAGGTAATCCATAACCTCATAACTGAAAATTACCAAGAGGCAATTGTGAAAAAACCGCTCGTGTATTCTTGAGATAAAATGCAATTACCCAGGGATGGAATGAACTAAGCAAAAGCCTAGGGGTAAGTCTTGCCAAAGCATAATATGTGCACAGGCCTTTCGCCTGAACCAGTGCATCCCTGCTGCTTTTTGTGCTCACCAAAACACCCATGAGCTGGGGCTGTGCAAGTTCATGCTTTATTAATGCCTGCATATTTGCATCTCTTCTTCTTGCGTTGTAACACACCAAGCACCTTTTAATATACATCAGTGGGCAATAACATCTATGCAGGTAGCGATATAAGCATCAGAAGTGAGTCCTTTTTATGCACACATGATGATGACTGTCAAGTATTATAAGACAATAGAACCAATTGTTCAGATCGCATCTAAATCAAGTATTGCATTTTAAAGGGATTTATTTCATTTTTCTAACTTGCCCACTGAAAGGTAAGGATTGTTGTGAGAAATGCTTTTATTCTTGTGCATTTAGCTTGCATATCCTTTTTGTTTACTTTTCCTTGTTCACAGAGGCATTTAATTCTTGGTACATGAAAGGCTTGAAAGAAAGTACACATTAGGGGCACTCTTTATTAGTCTGAAATTTTTGTTAATACTTTCTTAGCTGACATAAATTGCCTAAAGATGGCAGAACTGCTTTGTGTTACCAACCAGGAAAATAAAACAAACACTCCGGTCTTAGGATGAAGCTGTCTGTAAAACAGAAACTTGAGAACAACACATTTACAGTTGGGAAACTTGGGAATAATACTGAATTCATTTGGTTCCCACCTAATTTGTCTTAGCAAATATAAACTTTATGCAACACTTGACTTTCTGTTTGATAACTGGTTCCAACTTTGAATGAAACAGATAGCTTTTTAAAAAAAGTGGAGTGTATTTTTACATGCATTTTAAATGCAGAAAACAATAGATCCTGCTATTCACCCGTTTTGTAACATTATACAACCCCTTTTTGTGGGAAAACTAGTAATGCTGTTGTTGCTGTTGTCTGCCTTTACAAAAGTAAATCAACAGCACTATCCTATTCACATTTATTCAGAAGTAAG